CAACGGAAAACTCAGTGGTGCGTTCAAAGTGAATACAGTAGTAAGAAAAGTCTGTCTACCTATATATTCCTAATTGTGGTGGACTAGATTATGCGTCAGACTATGCACAGGGATTAAGAAGACAGGAATACACTGGACCACCGATAAGAAGACTCAAGAAGAGGTGGATTTCGTATATGGATGATTTATGTGTAATGTCACACAAACTCAAAGAATAACTGGCGAAAATCAACAAACTAGCAGAAGAAGCAGCCAGTGAAGACAGGACGCCAGGTGAACACAGAGAAGACGGAGGTGATGAAGATAACCAACCATCAACAACAGCGACAAAAACCAGCACCAATTACTATCAGCGGGTGAGATTTGACAGAGGTTACTTCCTTCACTTATCTGGCTAGAAAGCAATGTTCCAACCACAGGCATTGGGAATGGATGAAGATGTCAAAGCCAACAAGAATCGGAAAGGCAAGATACACCTTCATCAACGTGAAACCAATTTGGAAATATTCCGCACTCAGCATAAGGAAGAAGATTCGCATTTTCAACACCAATATGAAGTCGGTTCTTCTATACGGGTCAGAAACTTGCACTGCATATGACGAAAAGGATTTCCAACAGGTTGCAGATTTTCATCAACAGCTGCCTGCCTTTGCTGGCTGGTTCCATACTGAAGGTCAAATGGTCGGCCAGAAAGAGTAAGTGACAAGAAACTCTGGCTGGGACGAACCAACCAAGAGCCGATTGCTCAACAAATATGTAATAGAAAATGGAAATGCATTCGGCATACGTTGAGGAGGCCGTCGAATGACATCGTGCACAATGCAGGCCATCACTCGAGTGGAATCCAACTGGGAAGCGACGAGTTGGTTGTAACTATTGGGGTGACATGGACGAGATTGTGTGGTGAGGAGGAGATGAGAGGATTTGGGTAATCGTGAACCCAGCTAAAGAGAACAGCGGAGAATAGAAGAAAGTGGAGATGTGTTTTTGAAGCTCTATGTTCCACCCGGAACCCAAGAGAACAGTAATAATAATAATAATAGTTATTTATTTCAAATATTATTCGAATCAACGAATTAAGACGGATTTCTTTTTCTAGTCCAATTCATGTGATATAATTACTTTTAGAAGTTAGTCTGATAAACCCCGAACAATCATTTGCCAGTCCTCACGTGGCCTCTTTTGGAGGATGGCATTTGTAGCTGGTATTTCCCTCTTCATTGTCCACCTATCTATTTTCACCATATCCTGTCTGCCTGAACATTTTAGTTAGTCTGTGTAAGACTGACTTAAGTTGAGAATCCTGTGAAAACAAATTCAAGTGCTTCATTGTCACGGTTGCAAGTGTGGTGCATTTCAACACTAAAATTAATACTGTCTTTTTATTTAGGATTTTATTGTAAGTTGTGTAGTGGTCATCGAAGTGTACTTGACTAACTGATTTTCTAAGTAGGACTTTGCACAAAAGGGTGGCAGTCTAAGATGCCACTTCCTATTTTTCACACGAAGGTAGGGAAAGGCGGAAATATAATGTAGAGACAAATGAGCAGAATCATAAGGATTTAATGGATTTGAAAGATATTACAAAGAGTTAATGTATCCATCGAAAACGACTTTTTGTCATATTAACCAACAGTCTCCAGTCACTGATTCTTAGCATCTCCAGGATACCCTACGTGGCTTAAACCCACAGTAAAAAATTTTATAGATTGATGTCATGTTCTGATTGAATCACCTGTAACTCTTTTTCAACCATTTTTTATGTCAGCCAACATTGTCCGATGAGGATGGTGATGGCTCAGTATGTGTCCTAACCGTTTCAATCGATGTAAATTCACAACCTTATCAATTGACTTTCTTTCCTTACCGAACACTACTCTTAACCTCACTACTATTTATCGCAGTATACTACTGAACATGGGAGACTGAACGCAAACACCTGCTGTCAAAAACAGCTAACATCGGCATATCTTTCGCTTTCAATGGTCCCATGTCTCACAGTCATAAAGAAGAAGACAGCGAACTTCTGTGCACATTGTTTTAACTGAAGTTATTTTGATCGCTAACCTACACTGAATGGTTTTAAATGCTTCCCTGTTTAAATTTTTTGTATGCATCTGGATGTTCTGTAATATTCTTACTAAAATAGTATCAGTGAATTCCTTTGGGTTACTAATAAATCTGATGAATGAACGCCAATATTTGACCTCCCAACAGAAAAAAAGCACTTATATACTAAATCACCATGGTCTCTGATACTTTCTTAACTCAGTCATGTGACTGAAAGTGTTTGAGCTTGAGCGAATTTCGTCTTGTGCTCCTGTTGTTGGTAAGGATTACTGCAATTGAAACCTTCAATCATTTTGTATGTGTGGGGATGCTGAATTTGTTTCCATAGATTTTTAGAGGCTATGCTTTATTTAGGAACTTAGTTTCTTTTTCATATATTAGGGAGAATGGATATTACTAGTATTATTCCCTTGGGTCCCGAGTGGAACATAGAGCTTCAGCAACAAATATCAAATCCATCCCGTTCTCTGCAGTCCTCTTTGGCTGATTTCACTACAACCTATACATTCTCCATCTCCTCTTCACACGATTTCCTCCTTGTCATTGTCGAACTCATGCCCAACTCGTCGTTCCCCATTCAGGTCCTAATCTAGGGCCTGGCGCATGGTGTCACTCAACAGTCTCCTTAGCATGTGTCTAAACCATCTCCATTTTGCTTCAAAATTCTTGTTGAGTAATAGCTTCTTGATTAGTTTCTTTCCAAAGTTCCTTGTTGCGAATGATTTCTGGCCATGTAATCTTTAGTAATGGAGTGAAGGCTGCTTGTTGATAAAAGACTGAATTCTATTCGTTATGCTCTCAGGTGACCCACGCTCCAAGTCTTTAAACCATATAAGAAGAACTAACTCGATATTAGCGTTGAAAATGCGAATCTTACTCCTTATGCTGAATGCAGGAGATCTCCACTCTAATTTCAGAGCGATGAGGGTCTGTCTTACTTTTCCGATCCTACCTTTGAAATCCTCGTCAGTGCCGGATTTCTGTAGTTGAAACGATGCTGTCTAGAGTGAGAATGAGCAGTGTGATGGAAATTACAAAGAGAAGTTTTCAGTTGGAGGATATGGAAAACAATTTCCCTGTACAGTCTTTATAATTTATTTATTTAGGTTTGAAAAAGATTCAGTTTATTTTAAGGTCATTCAGCCACTCATTGTTTTATCTTAATAATCTGTTTTTCAATCTTTCTATAGGTATATATGTGTGAAATAGTCTATAATAAATATAATTAGTGGCAGTTTAATTTTCTTCAATTTATATCAATATTATGTATTCGTTCGTAGATCAGTTGTTCTTCTATTGTGCAATATGCCATAAACTGTTATGATCCTTTGTAGGAAATAGTACATCTCTCAGTAAGGATATTCAAGACACAACAATCGTAATAATAATAATGATTTTCTATGGTTGGTTTGTATGAATTAGACTTGTTTTTACGAGTTGATCACGGATTGATATCAGTTAGGGAACCATTGAAAACCAGGGAGTACTGGACAGCTGTTTCACCCTAGTTTGGGAATCATCGGCAGTACATACTCACTGGATTTCGAACCCAGGACCTTCCGGTTACAAGGCAAGCTCGTATACTATTCAGTCACTGGGACCCGACTTCAATGGCCAGCCCATGAATTCTAACTTCTACCAGTCCGTGATTTAGCGCGACCCACTGGTAGAAGTTAGAATTCATTGACTGGCCATTGAAATCGGGTCCCAGTGGTTGAATGGTATACGAGCTTGTCTTGTAACCGGAAGGTCCTGGGTTCGAACCCCAGTGGGTGCGTACTGCCGATGATTCCCAAACTAGGATGAAACATCTGTTCTGTACTCCGTGGTTTTCACTAGTTCTCTAACTGATATCAATCCGTGATCAACTCGTAAATAGTAATAATAATGGTAGTATAATTATAAAATGTGTGAGGTTCGGGATGCATAATTTGTGAGGTAAGATCAAGAAAAAATCGGCCGGACTTGTTTTAAGGTGTAGATGTATGTTATATTTGTAATGTCAATCTGTAGGCGTTTATACGCGATGGCTTTTCGATCGCAGTTATGACTATCAATGCGCTTTTTCTGTCTGAACGTAAATTTTTTTTTCTAAGGTAGATGTACTCGTACTTTCATCAGAAAACAATCCTTATTCATTGTAATTCCAGTATACTGGTACAACGTTGTGCATTTTAATTTCTTTTTTATCAATGTACCAATAATGCATTCGTGTAGGTGCTTGTCTCATAGCTAGTGTGTCATGTGTAAAGAAATTTTGGCACCCCGCCGGTATAACAACTTCATCTTTGTTAAATGTGGGTTAGAGACTAGTTCAGGTGGCGCTTAGTGTTCCTAGAATGTCTACAGTTTCAGTGGAATTGAATTATTTAAGAATTTACCTACGTAAAGTTTTCAATTCTGTGGGCCCTAAATACCACCCCGCCCCCTCAAAAGTATTTCATCTGGTGTGATGATGATGCACAGCTCGTTTCAGTTACTTTTAGATTAAATTAAACGGAAAACAATTTCTGGAGTTGTTCATAATAATAATACTTCATTTTGTTCTCCTCCTAAATTCTCAAGTAAGCGACGATGTGTTTTTCTGATCTGATGACTGTGGATTGATATCAGTTAGACCACCATTGATGTTTCGTATTTGTTTATGACTCTTCAGTAGTGGGCACCCATATCCCCACGGGGGGAGATTGAACACAGGACCTTCAGGTCACGGCGAGAGTACTGCTTAAGAGTCCCAGACTGTGACGAAGCAGTTGTCTGGTACTCTCTGGTTTTCAGTGCTTCTCTAACTGATATCGATTCATAATCAAAACTGAAACTAATCAAATCCGTAAAAATTAACACTATAGAAAGGATTCTTGACTATGCTATTCTATAATCCGACTTTCAAGTAATTATTCCATTCTTTTTTTATTTTTACAAAACTTTAGCTTCTGTGTCATGGTACTCTACCGAAATGGGTGAATCGGTTAGCTCGTATTGTATCCGGATTACCATTCATTGAATCCTTCCTACCGCCACATTGGGTCCGACCTAGTTTAATGTATGACTGTGATTATGATGAAGAAGATTTCCGAGAAGAAGAAGAAGAAGACGACGACGAAGAGGTGAAGACGCTTTCGGAAGATGAGAAAAAAGAAAAAGAAGAACCAAAAGTGGATACTGAAAAAAACAATCGGAATCTAGTCATAATTAATGAGACCCCTACTACTACGACAACTAAAGCTACTGATAAAATGAAAAATACCACTAGCACTAGTAATTCTACAACTCACTACAAAGAAGCAGATGATCAGAATGTACAATGTCCTAATGACTCTTTAATGAAGACATTTACAGAAAAACCACACTTCCAATTTGTTTATTCTGCATCTACAGGCAACGGGCATGTTCCACATCATAACAACAGTAATAACAATAAACACTCCATTGATCATTCAGATAATCATCACAATACTTCATTGTGTAATATTAGAATGGTGTGAATAATGGATAGAAAAAAAGAAAAGGAACATGCCAGTGTGTATAAATGAGAAATATACTGCCTATTCAATTCTTCCAAATAACAATGAATTATACTGGACATTATTACTATTACTATCATTATTATTTTTTACTCGACATTAATTATCTATATTGTTTTTGTAAAAATAGTTCTATCTGCGGATATTCATTCAGTCTACTTGATGAATTATGAGTACATTGTTGAGAAGGGAATCAAATACATTTTCTATTCATTCCCGTTTAGTTTCTATGGGCAGCCTCCGTCCTGGCCCGCCTCTGTCCCCCCATCCCCGCCGCCAATTTACTATCTTTATTCTCAGCGAATAAAAGTATGCTCAAGTTCCTCTGTTGTTTTGATACATATTGTAGGCCGTTTGTCTTTTTATTTCGTGGGTGTGCCTCCTTTGTGATAGTATTGGAAACTTTTTGTATTGTTCGAGTAATTGTTTGTCTTTGTTTGATAGCCAGCACAGCAGCCAACCGTTAACTGATAATCGTTTGTCTTATTATCATCATCATCAGGTGTAAATTCACTCTGTGTTTACTTTTTTGATAAGCGTCTTTCTGTGTTGCCCCAATTCAATTCATTGACTTTTATTTTTGCCGTAATTTGCTCCCACTCTATTACTCTGAGTCGTCTCCATCGCCTTTTGTTTGTTTTGTAAATTGTCTGTCTTGTTGATTTTTGTATTGTTGAATATCTTGACAATTTGACCAAAAAAGAAAAAACAGACTAACATTTGTTTGATTTTTTATGCGTCTTTCTTTGTCTCTTCATAATTTGATATTGTTTTTTTTAAAAAGCTAATTTGTACTTGTTTTTATTATATAAAGACACTTGCTTATATAAATTCGGTATATATTTCAAAGATATATATAGATATATATATGATTTCAAGTGCAGTTTTGTTTATTTTCAACGGAACATATAATACGACATAATTTATCCAAAACGTGTAGTGTATTTGTATAAGACATTTTGGACATTCTCATCATCTCTGTACTTGCCATACATAGATATTCATTTTCGAGAGAGTTAGTTTGTAGGCATATGATTTGTTTCAAGTTGGCCATCGGATTGAGAATCAGTTAGAGAACCATTAGAAACCAGTTAGGAGTTGTTTCGTCTTAGTTTGCGACTCATCAAAAGTACGCACCCACTTGGTCTCAAACAATAGGACCTTCTGGTTACGTGGTGAGCTCGTAGACCACTCAGCTACTGGAACCCTACTCAGTCGTCCGTGAAATCTAACTTCTACCAATTCGTGATTTTAGCACGACCATCAACCAGTGTCATCGCTGACGAGTACTTGTCCTCACTCCCGATCGGTTGGACTCTAGTGGTCACGAATCCTCATTAGAATTTCAGGCAAATTCTTCTTGTAGGCATTAACTAATGAGTATCAGATTAAATTTTAAGAGGTAGTTTGCAGGGTAACAGAAAATAAATTGTGAAACCGTGTGAATAAACTGATATTATGAGCAATAATTTGTGTTCGAAACATCATCCAGTTACTGATACTGTATCACTATGTGATATTTAAAATAAACTTTTCTAATGTGGAATTACATTCTACCACAGTGCCGAAGTTCTACATTTACATTAATAAAGGGTCACAATTTACTCAATATAGGTCAAAATGTTTACCGGTCAAGATCACAGATGAGGTAGGAAAATGGTAGGGTGGGTGGGTGATGAATATATTATTCAGTAAAATAAACTTTAGTTTCATAATTGGATTACCAACACAGGTCAAAGTAATGACAAACAATTTTTGAACACAAAACAGGTTTAAGCCTTTTTTTCATGCACAGAGCTTCGACGAATTTATGCATGTGACCCAAACCTGTTTTATGTATAGGTTTAATAAAAGCACTGTTGAAATCAGTTTTATGACCTGTCTCTATTATGTTTTGCAATTGATGACATTGGGCATCTATTTTCACAGGCAATTTTATTCGTTATTGCAGTCAGTTGGGAAGGTGTTCTGTAATCCTGACCTGCAGATATCTATGGGTCTTCCCTATGTAAGTAACTGTGATCAAACATACATGTAAATTGATAAACACAGTAGGATGTGACACTATCGTTCGGATTCTGTAAGGATTTCAATGATAACATAAATTTTGTTATCTCAATGAAAATGAGTTTAGCTGCATAGTAAGTTCAGTTGAGTACCTCTCTGAATCTTTTTTTAGTGATCTCTCTCGAACGGTAAATATATATAAATAGTCATTTTAGGAGCTACAGAAGCGCGAAACAATGGGCTGCACTAATCCAATCAGTCCACAGAAAGGAAGGCTGAACGTTAGGCTAGTAACGTCAACCCGTAAAACAACACCACCGCTAGTGGAACTTCAAAGCTTGAAGTCATATGTTCCACTAGGAACAGGAAGAATTCAGGTGTACAATCTGATTTTTATTCATTGACCTCTTAGTGCTTTACTAGAATTGTGATCAAGATTTAACCGATTGGTTCCACAAAAATTGGCCACCGAGTGAAAGACAGCCATATGTAAAAATTATATTTATAAAATTTTAGCGAAAGTGAAGTAAATAATTCCAGCGTTCTATTCTGCAATCTGGTCCGAACTTCTTCAGAGAAATTAGAATGAAGGTATATACATAAAAGGACACATCTTGTCTTTAAAATCCTTGTCGAATCATGTGAGTCATAAACAGACATCAAAACAAGATTGTATGAACTGTAGTCAAAATTTAACCACACATCTGTCATAAGTCTGTTTTGTTATATACTGTAAACAGTATGTACTTTTGCATCAGGATTTAGTGATCGTGTTCGACTAAAGGTGATATACAATAGTGTGTGTGCGTACGCATGGGAAAACAACTGCATATCATTTGTCAGTTTTTGCATAAGAAGATAGATATAGATATAGAAAAGATAGATAGATATAGATCAAGCGTGACAAATAGTGATAAACATTCTTTATATCTATTTATCAGGAGTTGACATGCTTCAGCTAACACCACACGTTTACGTCCGGTCAAACTTTGGGAATTCATCCATGTATGCAGGGTTTCTGCAGTCAGTCTTTCTTTGTATGAACCAAAACCTATCTGCACAACTTAGGTCCTATCAAAGTCCATCTTGTGTCCCATTTCTATCATGCGTAGTGCAATTTCTGTTTTGTTTTCTAGCTTTGTCAAATCTCCAGATTTCTTTGGAACCGGCTTCAAGTATTGTTCATACGCTTTTAAAATGACCTGTCTGGCAGTTTCTCCTACATATGCAACATCACATTCCCCACAATTCACCTGGTAGAGGCATTTGCACTAAAATGCACTCTTATGTCACGATTGTGCAGAATTCGCTTTATTTCATCGAATTTTCGATTACGATAAGGAATCACCACAGTACTAACCACAGTCTTAGCAGTGGGTTTTGATGCATCGTTACCTTCACTCATTAAATATCATTTAATAAAGGCTTTCATGAAATTATTTGATTTTAGAGTAGACTGAACCAACTTTAATTCCCTGTTGACCTCTTCTTCCTCAGTAACTAGAGGTTTGGCTCTGTTTAGCCAGATTCTTAGCCATAGTTACTTTGTTAGTGAAGGTATGTACCTAAATGTAATCCAGATATCTCTCCGAATGTGTGGACTTTCTGAAAATATTGTCTTTTACCTCACCAACTGGTTGTCTTTCAACTAAACTGTACAGAGAAGTCAAATCATGTGCGTTGGATTAATGGTGTTTTATATGTTGTTAATCAAATGGGAAAGTTCACTCAGAAACTTGGTGTGTCAAGAAAAGGATTTGCAACAAGTTACAGACTTTCATCAGCAGCTGCCTTCTTCGACTCCATACTGAAGATTAAATGCCCAGAAATAATTAGCAACAAGAAACTGTGGGGACAAACCAATCAAGAGCCGATTACTCAACAAATATGTAGGAGAAAATGGAGATGGATTGATTGGGCATACATTGAGGAGACCATCGAATGACATCGCGCGCCAGGCCAGTGCTCGAATGGAATCCAAATGGAAAGCAACGAATGGGTGGTACTAGGGTTACATAGAGGAGATCGTGGGGGAAGGAGGAGATGAGAGATTATGGTCAATTGTGGAGAGGAAAGCAGAAAATAGGAGAAAGTGGAGATATGTTGTTGAAGCCCTATGTTCCACTCTGAACCCAAGGGAATAATAATAATAATATCATTTAATATTTTTTTGTTTTACCCTTTAATTTATTCAAGGCAGTCCTTGACTTTGTTGAATTTTTCATAGGATCCAATATTAAGGTGTTCAGTAGTTCTCTTCTCGTAACCTACATAATTCATAAAGGCCATGTTATTGCCTTTATCTGCTGTGTTTAATGAAAATAGGTTAACTTTCTGTAGCTGTTTTACTGTCGGTTGTTCGCTTTTGCTGAAATTCAGCAAGTTTGGCTTCTCATCTGTCAAACTGAACTTTTAGTGTCATAAATGTCTTCCCTGTTATCAGAAGAAGGAAATATTGTCTGACTTCAGTTTTAAAACTAGTGTTAGAAAAATATATATATTTGAAGTAGATTTGTGATGTTTGAAAAATAGGAATTTTGAAGTCGCCTAATTCATGCGATGCCTTTTGACTATGTGCTTAGTAAAACCATCTCTAGACAACCTACACAATTATTTGTCTAGACTCACAAGTACGAACATTTCGCGTGATCATGTATGACGAGGTGATAAGTACTGAGGATATTTGTCAGAGTATGATGTTCTTTGGAGGCAGATAATAAAATCTTCTAGCCAAAACAAACAGATTTCTTAAGTGTATGATAATTTGAAGGCATACAGAATAATCTGTTGATTATATCTTAATAGAATTAACGATTAAATTAGCTCATTCTGACGCTATTCTGTGTATTTTTAGAGTCGTAGGTGTCATATATTCTATTTACGAAACCAATGCTTATTTTTGTATCACACTCTATTTAGATTTATCTCGGAAAAATAATTATTTCTATTATTATTATATATTTTGTTATGATAACTTTTATCTGTATTTGACGTCAGAAAATATTTATTTTTAGTCTTTTTTATCGCTTTGTTTGGTTTGTTCCCCATTTTTTCTTATACTTCATTTGGCTATTTGGACTACTTAACAAAGTAATAGTATATTCAGCAAGAAGTAGTTCGAATTTGTTTGGGAAGAAGTTTAGTATTTTATATAAGTATATATAACTAAGCTAGTGGTTCAGTCTGCGTTTACCAATACAAAAGATATACGAAATTAAATTTGGGCCTGTGTTGATCATAATAATATTATTATTACTATTCCCCTAAGCTCCGAGTGGAACATCAATAGCATATCTCCATTTCACTCCGTTCTCGGCAATCTTTCAAGGCTGGTTTCACGATTATCCAGAAAGCTTCAGTTTCCTCTTCACACGATCTCCTCCATGTCATTTTCGCACTCATGTCCAACTGGTCGTTTTCCACTCAAGTTCCACTCTAGGGCCTAGCGCATCATCTCACTCAACGTTCTCATTCATTTCCTCCGGCATATTTATTGAGCAATAGGTTATTGGTTGGTTAATTACCAGAGTTCTATTCTGACCAGCCATCTGATCTTCAGTATAAAGCGAAGACAACTGCTGGAAACGCTTTCGGTGGCTTGTGCACCAAGTCTCTGAACCATGTAAAGCAGCTGACTTGACATCAGAGTTCACTATCTGAATCTTACTGCTTATGCTGAGTTCAGCAGATTTCCATACTGATTTCAGGGTAATGAAGGTCTGTTCTGCTTTTCCAGTTGTGCATTTGAAACTCTCATCCGTGTCGATTATAGGTGAGACGATGCTGTCCAAATAAGTGATAGACGTGATCTGGATTTTCAATGTCTTTTCGTCGGTTCAATAAATGTATGTCTTCTTGCTCCCCTACAGTTTGTTGCAAGATCCAGTTCACCACAATCAGGAATATCATCGTCGATAGTAAGCAGCCTTGTTTTACTCTTGTGTTGATAAGCTCTCGGTAAAATAGACACCAACGTAATCTATACATCCAGAGGTGAGACTAACTTCTTGTCTATTAATA